GTTGGGTAATTTAGTACTACTACACATAACAAGTTAAGTTACATAGATTATAAGATGCTTAAATACCTCACAAGAACAAGTTTTATGCCATATATATTTCATTCCCCGACGATTCAAACATACTTAAGTAACATTCAGATATTTTAAAAGGAAAATGATCAGAAGAACTAATCTCAATTTCTATACAAGTATTGAGTGCTACGCATAACAATTTCTGTACAAATGCTATACTATAAAATATGATTCTTGTCTGCTAAGAACAGTTCGTAATCTCCAGTTTGGATAGAAAAATAAAGTAATGTGTAAAAGTAAAACATAGCCGATTATCACCTGTTCAACTTCCAAAGCTCTACCTGCAACTTTCTTCTCAGCATCCCTTGCCTTATCCTCTAAAACATGAAGCTCGAAGTTGATTGTTCTCAAAGCAGCCCATAGGAGTTTAACCTAGCATTGCCAACCCTGTTCTTTAGATTAGTGTAGTTGAAAAACAAAAAAAAAGTAGCTCAAGCCTTGCCAGAACTCAGTTTTGAAATAAAAACGATCACAAAATCACTTTGCGAGAACTAAATTAGAGAACATAATAGACAAAAAGCCGAACAAACCTCTTCTTCCAACTCACTAATCCTTTTTTGCACCAAAGGTAAACCACTCTGAGATCAAATAGTAAATGTCAGCAATGCAACTAACCATGATAAAGCATTAGCACAGTATACATTTCCAATAAGAAATTGATTCCAAACATAGACAAAGATCCCAATTCAGGAGCAGCAACGTAATATATAACCATGTAAGATGTTTCAAAGTGTTTTTCTCCCTCATCGGTTAAAGAAACTCTCTAATGTCTTTTTGAGCTTAAACTTGCATTGCATCAATGGAAAATAGATTTTTACATTCTTCTAAGAGAACCAAACCAACCTCGTCACTGAATGAAGCAGACTGCAAATCATGGATCTGATATTCAGCAACTTGGATCAACTTCTCACGCTCTTTCAAGTAAAGGGTCTTAGCATCTACCTTTTGTAATGTCGCCTCAAGAACAGCTTCTACATTATCAGAGCCAGTCAATTCCC